CTGTACAATTCTGATTTGTATACTTTTCTGTGCATATGTTACACTTCAGTAAAAACTCCACTAAAATGAAAAAAAAAATTACAGAGAGAGCTCTTCTTCACTAACGGGTTACTCTATTTGTAAGGTTTGTACAGGAGAAAAGAAGAGCAAAACCCAAGTCCATTTATCTGAAGTGTGATGGACTCATTAAAGACAGGTCAAACAGGGCAGCTACTGTGTAAAAGAAGCAACTGGCTTGAGTTTCTTCAGGTAATATCACCTTGTGCGGGCCCACAGCATAGGTGTGGGTCTCAGAAATAATGTCATCATGAAACTGCCTTTATGTGAGAATAAAGCTATAAGCCCAAACCACAGACTTGTACACATGAGCCCTCATCAGCATGAGAGTTGGCATTATCATTCAAAACCAACCTATGTAAGTCTCAAACAAAGTTAAGTCAGTGGTCAACCCAGGATTAGGCCATTATCTAATTAATTATCTATAATTTCTATGCAAGCAGATGGAATTATCACACTGAGGTCCAGAATTTGTGCTCTCAAGCTAGGACTAACATAGACGAAGGCTTTTAAAATGAACTCTCAGTGTCATTAGCTCTTCAACACACAGAAGGCTAGCTAGGGCTGCACCAGGCTTCCTATATAAGCTTCACTTTAAAGAAAAAAAAAAAAAAAAGAATTTGCTCCACAGATTGGCTATTTCCTCAAGAGCCCAGAAGAAAGCCTTTATGAAAAAGCATTTGGCTCACAGCTCAACTACCTAATTTATGAATTCAACTCATCTGGAAGCAGGCAGCACAGAATTACTTAAAAGTACATATAGTGGCTTCCTTTAATTTTCATCTCACTTATTTTCCTTTTCCTCAATTCTCTATCCTCATTCCTGTTCTGTCTATTCTGCTGTGTCTCACTTACATGTTCTCTTCATATCTTGTTTTATACACCTATCTTCCACATCACCTCCTGAATTCCAATCTCCCTTCCATAATTATTTCTATTTATTAGGAATGAGCCATGAACCCCACTGGTTCAAGAGAAGTCCTGACCAAACATACCTGAGAAAATTCAAACTTGTCTTTGGCATGAAAAACTAGGAATTTACGTTCTGTCACCAAGTGGAATCGACTGTGACATTTTAACCCTTCTCTGTCATTGGAAACACTGCAATAACCCAGAGAACTGTCATTTGGGAAACTGAGAGCAACTGATACTTGCCTCCCTGGTGTTCACAGTACCAAGCACTGACCGGGCGTCCATGATCCAAGCACTACGCAAGATGCCTTGCATACTTTCTGTAATTCTCCTAACAACCCCACAAGCTAACAACCAGTACCTCCATTTTAAAGGTAATCAGGTTCAGAGAGTTTAAATAAGATCATACAACCAGTAAATTTCAGAGCCAGGATTTGGTTTGGCTCTACAGACTACACTCTAGGCACAAAAAAACCACCCCGAGTCTAACTAGGCCCTGAAGTCCTCAATCTCACTCATTCTCTATAAATCAACCCAGGCACTCACTAGGTTCTTTGAGACGTAGCTGAATAGCAGGGCTGTCACTCTTATCTCGCCTTACACCCGGCATATCGTGCTCCCATACTCTCTCTCGGTTTTCTTCTTCAATTTGCCGTTCAGCTTGGGAACAAATCCGCATTAGCCTCAAGCAGAGAATCTGGTGCAGTCGCATAAAGATATACCAGTTGTTATTGACATAGAAGAGGTTGTATACTTCGTCCATCCCTTTTAACTTCTGAGCTGCTGTGTTACTAAACAGTAGCTTGGACTTAGGGGGGCTGCCCCCAACACCATTGTGCTTCTTAGACGCCCCTGTGGCTTCATCTACATCCATCTCTTCTTCTTCTTCTTCCTCTACATCTGAGAGATCACCTCTTTGAGCAAAGAGCAGATCTGGAATGAAATGATGCATGATTTGCTTGATTTTATACTTGTCCTCCTTCTGAATGCCTGTCTGCCTCTTCACATGGTGGATAATCAAAGCAGCGGCATCTTCCAATATCTGTTTGTCTTCATAGACAAGCGAGAGGTGTGGGCCCACTGGTACACCAGCATTCTCTTCCGTAGCCTGCTCTTGCCTCTGATGGGAGAGAGAGACACACAAAAGTATTACACGACATGTTCAGGGCAACAAAAGACAGACTGCGAGGATACAACAGCAGTACACGCCATTATTAACCATAGTGACTGGGTTTTTTCCAATCCAAAAATCAGGATCTGATCTTAATAATTTTGGTGCCACTTCCATGTTAGCATTAACAGTAACGTAGGAGATGTAGTTTGATGCCAAAATATTGGCACCTTATAGACTCTGATGACTGGTAAGAACAATGGGACAGAACTGGGATCATCTTTAAAAATTCTGCGTTAGTATTTACAGAGGATATGATATGAGGTCTGAGATTTACTTTAAAATACTTCCAGGGTGGGGTGTGGCAAAATTGACAAAATATGTTTACATGAGAGCTTGGTTACTATCCTCTCTCCTTTTGTGTATGTTTGAAATTCAGGATCATGCCACTTCTGGGTATTCTTAACTGCACTGTATTTATGTTTCCATCCATCCCCTCTCTACGACTGTGAGCTCATAGAAAGCAGAATTAGTTCCTTATTCATTTTCCATATCCTCTCTTTGGTACTATATATACTCCTGGTAAGTGTGCTGAACAAAGATTAGAGCGAGTTTGGGAATCAATGATAAGTTTTTCAGTTGTGAGAAGTTGAAATGGT